CCTTCAATTACATACTATTGCCTACCTAATAAAAATTTACCTACCTCAATCTAAACATACCCTTAAAATTATAACATAAAGTAAAAGACCAAGAAATTACAAACACAAGTTTTGAAATACATAAAATTATGCATTACAATTCTAATATGACAAACCATAAAACATGAAAAAATTACAACTGCCCTCTTCGGGTTTTCATATTCTGAAACCGATTTATTACAGTTTCATTTTTAACTCTTTCAAGCATCTCTTTTTCCACATAAGATAATAAACAATCACTTAAGAACTCATCCGCAATTCGATTTCGTAAATATGTCTTCACAAGATTCATTGCTGAGAAGCATCTTTCAATATCTGCAGTTGCAACTGGCAAAACCAATGACAACTTTAAAAGTTTATATACCAAAGGAAAGGTGGTGTGTTTTTCCGTCTCTACCAATACCGTAGACAAATCAACAAGACCATTAAGATTTGAAAATCTGTCACCTGAAGTCACGTCCATAATATATGTCTCCAATTGATTTTATAATTCTCTGGCTTGAACTTCAGAGAAATCATTAGGATAAAATTGAGATAATCTCACCAATTTGGCCACATCAAAGTTATGGAAAGGACCACGAGGACTCAAACAAGCCACACAACGGAGCAACTCCATGTTTACTTCATTAAAACGGTCATTAAGTGATGAAACTTGTTGACCAATAATCACATAAAACAATTCAATATGATATCGTACAAAATTAGTTTTCCCTGTCCTACGTCGTGGATGATCAAGATCAACATATATTCCTCATCCATGTTTAAAAAAGGAAGACCATACTCATCACAAAAAGAAAAAATTATTATTATGAGGGATTCCCATCCTTCACTTCTTAACTTTTGCAATCGTTGCTTAGCAACTTCAACAAGAGATAAAGCATTTAAAATATTTTGATCTTTCCTTTGCAATGCCACAGACAATTCATGAGTTATTCCAAGCACATCCAACATCAAATGTAAGCAAAAAGCGAAGTCAAATTTCTTAAAATACCTCAAAACACCACGAGCTTGAGCTTGCTTTGTTGTGTCTCTAGCCTCATCCTTCACAAAATCAAGCACTTTAATAATCGAAGGATACAACCTCACTATATTTAACATTGACTTATAATGAGATCCCCAACACGTATCCCTAGGCCTTTTGAGACAAAGCTCTTGATTCAACCCACTTCCCTTATCAATCTCTCCAGAAGCAATGCCTTCTTTAATTCTCTCCATATAATCATCTCAAATCATATCTCGGCGTTTACATGAAGCCCCCACAACATTTAACACTGTAGCAATCATAGAAAAAAAATCTTGAATGTCAAGATACATTTTAGCTACAGCTACCAAAGCTAATTGAAGTTGATGAGCAAAACAATGAACGTAATAAGCTGATTGATTTTCATTCAAAATCAAAGACTTCAGGCCTTTAAACTCACCCCGCATGTTACTAGCACCATCATAACCTTGGCCTCTCAATCTTGAAAAGCTTAATCCATACTCAGCAAATAAATTATCAAGTGCATCTTTAAGAGCTACATCACAAGTTTCTTTCACATGAACAATCCCTATAAACTGTTCATGGACTAGACCCTTTTTATCTACATATCGCAACATCGTAGCCATTTGCTCTTTATTTGATATGTCACTAGATTCATCAATTAAGAGACTAAAAAAATCCCCATCAATGTCCTTTAGGATTTCATTCATGATTTCTTTAGCAGAGCAGTGAACAATATCTTTTTGAATACTTGGAGAAATCATTTGATGGTTCCTTGGAGCATTTTGGAGTATAACCTTACCCACAGTCTCATTTTGTTCACCTGTATATGTTAATAATTCTAGAAAATTTCCCCAGTTACTTGATTCTTCATTTTCATCATGACCACGGAATGGTAGTTTTAATCGTAACAAGAATCTGCAAGCCATAATCGAAGCATTCAAACGGATTCGATATTCATTTTTCACATTCTCTGATTGTGTGTGAAGTGCAACTTCAATTGGTTGACTTTGTTTTATCAAATTCTCACATCTTCTAAGTGCTTCATTGTGATAACTATTGACCTTACCAACATGAGATGCCAATCTCTCACTTTTGTTCCATGATGAAAAACCATGCGTTACAAATGCATCACTTCCATATTTATTTTCAAGATAATCTCTACATAAATAACAACACAAACAATATGCTTTATCCTCTTTAATGCTATATTCTAACCATTTTCGATATTTTTTGAACAAATCTGGATTGAATCTCTTTGAACTTTCCCCAATTTGTTTTGAAGGAAAGTTATGGTCTAGAGGTTGACAAGGTCCTTTCAACCAATATGTACGCCTTATTTCATCTCTTTGATTTAGATAATAGACACTAATCTTTAACCTTTCGGTGGGATCAAAGGGCGAATCATTCAAATTGATTCTTTTTTGTTTTACTTGACACTCGGACAAACGGATAAGCATACTTTCATTTGAAGGTCCACTATCACTTTTATTTTCTTGTAAAGATGAAAATTTCCTTTTGAAAAAATATCTCCATAATGTATCTGTCAAAATTGATGGAAAAAATCACCATTCAAATTGATAACCTCCGATCCATGGATTCAATTATTGAAAGTCTATTTACCTCAATTAATTAAAACATCAATAATATATATTATCAAATAAATTAACCCTAAGCTAAAACAATTAACACATTACACATGAACCTAACATCATATTGTCCTAATATAAACAATTAATTAAAGTATTTATGTGATAAAACATACTTTGCTATTAATTTAAAATATAATTTAGGAAATAACATTTAGTTAATAGTAATTAAGAAATTAAATACTGATAATTTGTCAAATGGATAATATGATTGTGGACTGACCGATCTACTTGTGATGATTAAGAACATATGAAGATGGAAGAGAATGAGAGATGAAGCAGGAAGGTTCCGACCGACGACAGTTTGGCGTTCGTTCTCCTCTTCCCGACAGTAGATTAGCCGATTTGGAATCTGGACTTTTGCACTTCCTTAGGCTGTTGAGATGCAAGTGGCCAAGTGGGTATTCAATTTAATTGTGAAAAGGCTAAATTGAAAAAAATAAAGGAACTTAAAAGCATGGGCTGGATTATGGGCTATTGGGGTCATTCCACACTCTAAATGGGGGTAATGGCCCAAATGTACAGAAATTTTAATTTTTTTTTTGTTTAACATTAAAAGTTAGTTGGGGGCATATGCCCCCCATTCCATCAAAGCAAATCCGCCACTGATTAAAGATATACGTACGGGAGCCCGGATCCTGTCTGGCAATGCGAGATAGGGGCTCCAACCCGCCTCAAAGAAGTTCTTTGAGGTTTCTAGAGTGGCTCGAAGCAATGCTTGGATGTCCATGACTTTAGTCTATTTGAAAAAGAACCTTAGCTATATAGGTTGAGTGTAGTAAGAGTCTACAAGTGCTCATATAATTTTTAATATGTGTGCATAATTTTTAACACATATTTATTTGATAAATATGACTTTAAGTAATTGGTTATAACTACATTTTAATTAGTCTCTTTTATTTTCTTTCATCATTCACAAGATGTAAAAATAATGATGGAGATCAGATCGATCCACACACTTAATCAGATAAGTGGGTTTGATAAGCCCAAGCCTAGAAGCTCGCGAGCCTGTCAAAATCTTCTAGATTTATTGAGAAGAAGAAAATTTTGGTAATTCATCGGATATTAAGAGTCTATAAGTTTTGGACTAAATTTAAAGAACAATTAATCATATCATTAAATAATAATATTTGCTGACTCATCAAATATTGTGTAATTAAATGTTGATGCACGCTAATCTATGGATTAGTTCTAGCGTTAGATATATTCTTATCAGCTTTCAGCTGAGCACGTAGTCTTTGTTGTCTTTGACTGCACGTAGATAGGGATCAAGGAGTGGATGAACAGCGTGAAAGACATTGATGCGTGATGCTAGTGGATGGTCGAAGCTCTTATGTTATTATTTTAAATGTTCTATTTATTTATTATTCAAAGCATTAGGTTGTTTTGATGTTGGATTTAAGGCTTCAGCAAATGTTTGATTGTTGCACTTCGATTGATTAATAATTTATTTGTAACTAATACGAAAATATTTTTTAAATATTGTGCATGTGAATACCAAATTAGTAGCAACCCAATTTGCTAACTCGTTAGTTCGTGTTAGGCGGGTTGGGGTGTTACATTTTGGTATCAGAGCGTGTAGTTCTGAAAGGGTCTTTGGAGTTTGAACCAATGTTTCCAAATGCATTTTAAGAAAAACTAGGGCATCTACAGCTTCGTGACTTCAGGAGGTAATTTTGATCTTTTATTATGTGCTTATGTGACAATTGTTATTTTTAATAGTTCTATGATTAATTATTAATTGAGGAGCACATATTTTATTTCATTTTTTATTTCATTTTTAATTATTTATTTATTTTTAAGTTTTTTACCCATTTGTGTGGTAGAGGAGGAAGTGAGGAGACAAATGGGATACACCTTTAGTGTACCCCTAGCATTTTTCTTAATTGAGATATATAAAAAAGAAGATTGGTGCACTGAATTTTTTTTTAAAATCTTTTGAGCAAGATCTTGAGACCAAAGAATAGTAGTTTCAAAAATTATGTGGTCCAATCTCGATTTGGGCTAATCTTTTGAGTCTCAATCGAACCGATCTCCGGAGCAGCGATGCGTCGTGGGGAAGAGCGGGGATGTATGAGTGTGTGCACAACAAGAGCCAGCGCAGCCGGGTCACGTCCGCACAACACATTTACTACGATACGTGGCCAACTGCCTTACCAAATATGTACTCATTTCCAACACTCTTTTCCCCGACCGAAAAAAATCCTCCCATCCCCACTTGCCTTCTCATTTTCCTCTCCATTTCCCCCCCTTTATTCAATTGCTCTCTCTCTCTCTCTCTCTCTCTCTCTCACAAGTCATAACTGCACCTCTGCAAGCACCCCACGCCACGCACTTGTCGCCTTCTCGGAGTAGATATTTTTACATAGGTTTCGTCGGCGGTAGAAGATGAAGATTCAGTGCAACGTGTGTGAGGTTGCGGAGGCGAACGTTCTGTGCTGCGCCGACGAGGCCGCCCTCTGCTGGTCCTGCGACCAGAAGGTTCACGCTGCCAACAAGCTGGCCTCTAAGCACCAGAGGGTTCTTCTCTCGGACTCCCCTTCTTCGATGCCCAAGTGCGACATCTGCCAGGTACTTGTGCAATTTTCTCCCAGTTTTAATTATATTTTCATTAATCCGAACTTTTATTCATTTATTTATATATTTATTTATGGAAGTAGTTCCTTTAGTGTAGCCCTACTCATCTTGGAATTTCATTAATTTTGGATTAACTGAGAGATAATGAAAGCATCTGTTTTACTTTTGTGGAAGCAATTGTAGTTTCTAAATTTCATTTGTTCATTATGACCTTTTATAATTGATGATTTAGTTGAAGATAAATGTGGGCAATGCTTAAACAAAGGACCATCTGCACTAGTGTGTTTTGATCCTTTAAAAAAGCCAACAGCCTGTAAAACAAGATCTGGTGCTTCTTGATACAGAAGAATTAAACTAGGGGGTAGGAAAGTGTTTCAGCACACCTTCAGTCTGCCTCAGAGATAACAACACATAAATGATTTCGATTTGGACTTAATGTCTCCCCACAAGTAAGTGTGGAAGGTTCAATATATCCCCGCCAGCCATTCAGCCAATAGAGGGTCGAGAAGAAATCATCTGACATCTGTACATATATTCCGTTGATTTATCTCCGGGCATGATGGGAAGGAAATCAAAGAAGAATCATTTTTCCCTTTTCCAGTTTCCACACTCCATCTCCACAAAACAAGGATGAGACCAACTCCATTGAGTCACGGGAAGTATAAATTATATGAGCCCAGTACTAATATATATTGGTACTAGTATTACTTTTCTATTATTATCATTATTATGGTTATTATTATTATTATGGAGTATTATTGTTAAATTTTCATGGAAACACTCTCTTTGGGTAGTGGTAAGTGTGCCCACTGCCAACATCTCACCATCCCTAGATCCTACTTCTGAGTGTGATACTATGGCTTGGTTTGATTTGTTTTCTGTTAGTTGTTTTATTAAAATTTTTATTAGCACTATTATAATCAATACATTTAGGGCTCTTTTTACTTGTTAACTACGATAGATTTGTGAGGAGTAAAACTAGGGGGTTAACTTCATTATTAGTTTCATATACAAGGTCATGTCTCCAAAGTTTCTGTCAAGGATGAAACTTTTTCCTCTGTCCAAATTTCAACCGTACTCCTACCATAGTCCTTAAGAAGGCAGGGAAGGATGTTGGCAGGCTATTGAACTTCATCTTAGTAGGACATTTTTCATTTTCTAAAAGCCAATCTGTCATCACATCCTCTTCAGATGACATTTATCCCCATTACGGATCCAAATCCTTTTGTTCAAACACTTGCTTTTGGTGCATAATTTCAGAACATATTGTTTCCTAATTGGAATGAAATCCTTAGGTTTGTCAAATTTCTTAAAATAGCCTTCCAGTAAGCACATTTCTTGAAGTAACCCTACGGTAGTCTTGAACTCCCTGCAATGGCGCATTGCTTGACAAGAACCCTTGAAGTAACCCTAAGGTAGTCTAGAACACCCCGCAATGGCGCATTGCTTGACAAGAACCCAAACTCTAAAAATGCATGATTGTTATATATGAGTGTGTCTCATGAAGTAATGAGTGATTATGGGTTTGCTAACTATACCAACGTGTAGTCGATCCTTTCCTCCCCATCAAGGAGTATTTTAGTCAACTTCACGGGTTCTTTAAGAAACATGCATGCATAGTTAATAAAGGTGCTCGCCTCTCTCGCCTATGGCGCCTCAGGCGACCAGGCGAGCTCTCAGCGCCTCAATGAAGCCAGGCGAGGCGAGATCCCTAAGGCGCGCCTAAGGCGGTCGCCTTTCTCGCCTCAATCACTGCCTTAAGGCTTTAGGGTATACAATGCATAATATTTATTGCTATATATTACTCCATAATATATATATATATATACACACACACACACACATATATATATACATACATACATACATACATACATATATAGTATCAATATTATGTGTTTATACATACATACATATATGTGTGTGTGTGTGTGCGTGTGTATATGTATGTATGCATGCATGCATGTTCGCCATTTGACCGCCCGCCTCTTGCCACGCCTCTCGCCATAAAAAAGGTCCTCTCGCCCGCCCCTCGCCACTCGCCATTAATAACTATGCATGCATGAGAGGTAGTCATTTTAAGAAATACCCCAAAACCTAAGGGTTAGGTCCGATATTCCTGAGTCAGCAAGTCTTGACTCTTGTAGCCTACTTTAGGCTAATTTTAAGAAGCATTCAAATGAAAGAACAAGAAAATTCTTCAGAAACTTAGTTGTTTGGGTGTTTGTTTCTAGCAAAAAAATTATAAAATATAAAGAAAAGTTTGTTAGGTGGTAAAAATTTGCAACACAAGAAATGTCCTTATCCAAATAAAAACCATTAAGTTATAGCTTCTTGATTTTGAGGTCTTGAGTATTATTTAAATGCTCTTTACACATTTAATTTCAACAGAATTTACTTAAAAATAGCCTTTAAAGGTCAAAATACTCCCAAAATACTAAACCAAACATCTCTAAATTGGTGGAACATCATACATGTCTTGCATTTTTATTTGAAGATATATGAATTTAGATATGAATAGAACTAAAACAACCAAAAGTAAATCCATGTAGATGCATATTCCTAAGAGCAAGCCTTTGTGTGTTAAAATGTCAATATATTGGTTTAAATTTGTACTGTAGTGGGAAATGTCTAATAAATAATCTTAATAAGGAAATGAAATTATCAGGATCCTCATATCAAGGTCATTTTTCTAAACAGCCTCTTTCTCTTTTCTAGGTAGGGATTAGGTCCATGACTCCATGTACATCCACCCTCCAAGAAGCCTACTCGTGGGATTTTACTCAGTACGTTGATGTTTTTGATTTGTTACTAACCAGGGTTAAATGTGAATAACTATGTTGCATGGACACAAATGCCATAAACGATAAAAGAAATTTTGACTCTTGAGATTTGAGAAGCACCATCATAGACCAGAAAATAGTCGGGGTGGAATCCATTCAGTTATCTCAATGTCTGAAATTTTGCATCCCGTGATTTTATGTGGAATCTCTGAATTCTATTTAAATATTCAAAGTCAAGTCCTTTCAGTTGACCTAGTGATTATGCAACATACCATTCTTTGATTACTGTAATAGTCAAGGATCCACCATCGGCGTATGGTGGATAAGGTTTGGTAGCATGCCTGAAATGTCGACCCATCCTGTCTCATAATACTTTTACAGCGCCAGAATAATACTGGAGTTCTGGAATGGCTTAGCTCTAGTAGGTGTGTTTTTTGAGTTTCAACGAAAAAGATATACAGGCTACTTTTTTTTTTTTGCGTTGGGGTACAATGGAATAAAACAAAATGGCTCTTTATACTATCTGTGCTTCTTTTAGTGCGCTTCTTTCAAGTGTAGTAGTTAGTCAATGCAACTTTCAACCCTCATCATGGGTCATCTATAAACATAGAAATGCTGCACTTTTGACTTCTGAGATGACAATTTTACTCTTGTTTTCACCGGCATTGTCCGGAAAGCATATAAATGCTGCACTCATCTTGAAAATTTCAGTTTGCGTATTGTTTGAAATAAGTCCGTTTTCTGACTATCTGTATTTGGAAAAGGCTTGCAATAAAGGCCGTTTGAGAAAAGTTGACTTATATTGTTTAACTTGATTTTTCAAGTGTGCCTTTTTTAATATTCCAACGTACTTTGTGCACAAAGTAGTACTCCATAATATTTGGGAATGTCTACAAACTGCAAGTAGATATTGATATCCAAAAAATGTAGAAAGTTTTATTATAAGTCATAACAGGCTCGAGCCCTAAGTGCTTATGATAGATTGTTGTTTCTGTAGGAAACCGTGGGCTTCTTTTTCTGCCTTGAGGATCGGGCTTTGCTCTGCAGGAAGTGTGATGTTGCGATTCATACAGTCAACACACATGTCTCAGCTCACCAGAGATTCCTTCTTACTGGGGTGAAAGTTGGACTTGAACATACTGAACCCGGTCCATCTTCATCCTCAGGAAAGTCACAGTCCGGGGAGAAAATCTCTGAGCAGGAGTTTCAATCTGTTTCTATGAGAAATGCCTCTGTGGCATTCCAACATGAAGCATTACCTATGCAAACAACTGTGGCTGGGAATTTTGGACCTCCTAAACGACACTTTTCTGGTGGCTCTGTAGTCGGAAGTATTCCTCAGTGGCACCTGGATGAATTTATTGGATTAAATGAGTTCAGTCATAATTATGGCTACATGGACAATAACTCATCCAAGGTACTTCTCTAATTTTGATTTTGCTACGCCATATATCTACCTTCCTATTTCTAACTTCAAATTCCATATACTTGTATCAAATTGGTTTGTACAATGTATCTACCTTCAGTAGGTTCCATATACTGTTAGTTAAGTGGATTGTCCCATATCAAATTGGTTTGTTACACTTCTCCCAGGACAGAAGTGGAAACTCAACCTGCTATGCTCAATTATCATACACGGAGTACATTACAAAAAATGTAGGCCCATTTCATCTGGTAGATGGGCTCAACTAATTGATAACAATATGGTGATGACATGACATTTCTTAATTTACAATACAAGATTTTCACTACTCCGTAATCCGTCCATCCCACTACTCTTGGAATAGGGGATTTAAAACTCTAAATAAGAGATGGAATAATATGGTTTATATTTTAGTTGGAAAGTAAGAAAACCTAAGAATAAATGTGAGTTACACAAATATTATCAAATTGGTTTGTCACACTTCTAAATGACAGGAGTGGAAACTCGACCTGCTCTGCTCAATTGTTATACACGGATTACATAAGAAAAGAATGTAGGCTCGTTTCATCTGATAGATGGTCACGACTATTTGATAACCATATGATGGGGCTATATGACATTTCTAAATTTACAATACGAGATATTTTTAACTATCTCAGTCCCACTACTTTTGGAAAAGGAGAATTTGGCGCACAAATTAAGAAAAGTGGAATAGTATAGCTTATATTGAAGTTGAAAAGTAAGAAAAACTAAGAATGAATGGGAGCCACACAAATGTTATTAAATGCGTATGATATAAGACAAATAGCGGGAATAATAAAATAGGTAAAAAAGGGGCAAAACATTGGGGTGCATGGAGTATTTAATAACCTTAAATTGTTCTCTCTCCGTCCGGATATAGTTGTCCACTTTCTTTTATGGGCCGCTCGGTATTAATTGCCTACTTTCTATATATAGTAAACAAATTATTGGAAATTATCATAAATAACCCCTAAATGGCATGTTATCATTGTTCCACCGATAAAGATAAGTTGATTTGAAAGATTTTTTTTCTTCATGATTTAACATTCATTCCTTAAATTTGAGGTGTTTAGGAAAGGGGACAACTAAATACGCATAGAAGTAGTCAACATTTTTCAATATGATATCTGGGACTTAACATTCTTCATTTGGTAGTCAATAACAAAGAAATATGCTGATTAGCTTGTTTTGGAAAAATCCAATCAGGCGGACAGTGGGAAGCTTGGAGACCTTGGTGGCTCCCCCTCTACTTCTAGTTTCAGGATCAATGAGGAAGAGCTATGTGGCGATGAGGTGTTGGGTCAGTTCATTGAGGCATCTTGGGCAGTTCCACAAATTCCTTCTCCCCCAACAGCCTCGGGGCTATATTGGCCTAAGAGCAACCAAAACCCATTTGATTCTGCAGCCTTTGTTCCCGACATATCTGACTCTCCCTCCCACAATTTTGGAACAGAGCAGTCAAACTGTAGTAGAATGAAACGGAGAAGAAGACACTACTAATGTATTCCGCTTACTACAACAGAATTTTGACTCCCCACTGTATGCAGGAAGATTTCCCGCACATGTTTTTTCTCTAAAATGCAGCATTTCGCCTGCAATAATCCTCTTTTTCAAGTTCCATGAGGAAGATTGTATACAGTGTGTTCCTGCTGCGTTGAAAGACTGGAGGACTGGTTGAACTAGAAGCAGCGTGTGTTCCAAGTCTCTGTTGTGGGAAACAATACAAATATTCTACAGATAATGTGGTTCTCTCTTTGCGTCTCAGACTGTCGGTAAGACTTCCTCAAAAGAACTAAAAAAATAGAAAAACAAAACCTAAAAGGATTTGCTATTGGTTTTGCCCCATTTTGGCTCTAGTGCTCAATTTGAAATGGTTAATTTATTGTGTAGGAACCCCCTTCCCCCCCCCCCCGTGTGCAATCAGCTATGATACATCTGATTGACATATTATCATGAACATTGTAGAATCTCATTTTCAATGCACTGCTATATGCCATTCAATTTGTATGCAATTAAATATTGTTATGGTTCTTTTGACACTACCCTTTGATGTCATAAGGCCATTTGGAAGAAAGATTTTTTTACACTATCTTTTGGTGTCATATGATCATTTGAAAGCCTATGGTGCTTTGTTGGGCACCAAACCAAGTCCTACAGCTCCCAGTCTTACAGATTTTAGCTGGGTGATCTGAGCTTGGAGGGACAGAGCAAGATTTGCCCCCTAATTTGATTTTTTTGATCAGGATGGTCATCCCTACAATCTCCTCTTTAACTTGTTTAGTAGGCCATATCTTGGGCCGACCTTCTTCTACTTTGATCAAGGCAGAGTTGACATTGTAAATGTTTAGATTCTGGAAGTCCATCTTTTTTATCAGCTTGACATAGCAAGAGCGGGTTCTTGAGTCACTGCTACAAATCGCACATCCACCATCAACTTTCGTACATCCCCACTCCTCGTCCCACATGCGTTGATTGGAAAATGGACTTCAAATTACACAACCATTGTCCTGCCCATTTTCTTTCTAGTTTGAGGATCCTCGTTGAAATGTACCCAACCATCTAAAAATCCTTTTTGAGTTGAAAGTACTTCCTAGAAAATAATTCATTTTCCAAAAGTTGTTTTTTCAGAAATCATTTTCCTTCTTTCCCAACTGACGTGTAGTGACATTAAAGTCAATACATTGTTCACTTTTGGCTCTTTTCGGTCAAAATTGGTAAATTTTGACGTTAAATTAAACAAAAATGATATTAAATATTGACACAAAAATAATTTTATTAAATTTATTATATCAAATACTTTCAAATTTTTATTTTATCTAGTTAATATACAATATGTGTTTTATTTAATTATGAGTCAAAGATTGATAATGGTTGATTGAAAAAGTCAGAACTGGACAAATACTATGGAATGAAGGTAGTATATTTTTTTCTACTAACCATGCTTAAGGTTTATAAACCTGGATTACAAAAATCAAACTCCTAATTACTTCATTTTGAAAAGGGTTAACTTTTTATTATGCACCACAACATTATAAACATCACAAACGAATCCAATCACTTAAAATGTACAGTGCTCTGCCTTTAACCTATTACGGAGTACTCCGTATTATTTATATACAGCTAAATTACAATAATAAATTTGATTAATTCACACACTCGTTAATGTGAAAGTTGGGAACAAACCAAAAAAACAAACTTGCTCAGGTCCCTTTGCCCATGGAGAACAAAAAGCCAACCGCGGGAACTCTGTTTCTCAAGATTTTCAATACATCTGTTGCAGATGGCCTCGATGTTGGCGAATCAGCAAGGCACGAAGCTGCAATGGAAGCCACCGCCATGGCTTCTTCCAGCTCATATTCCCCGCCCGCCAGCCGGGGATCCACCATTTTTGCAACCCCAGACTCATCCTCCCAAACCCGACTTGACTTCAAAGAGGAAATGGCTTCCAAACCCGTGATCAGTTCCAGAAGGACGACCCCGAAGCTGTACATGTCGCTCTTTTTCGTCGCGATTCCGGTCCTTAGGTAGTGAGGATCGGTATACCCCGGAGAGCCGATCATTTTCCTACTACGAGACATGACTAGGTCGGAAGAAAACCCGGTTTTCGCCGACCCGAAATCGCAAAGCTTGCAATTGAACTGCGAGTCCAACAAGACGTTGGAGGACTTCACGTCGCCGTGGACAATGTGGGGATCACACTTCTCATGGAGGTACTCCAGAGCCTCAGCAAGCTGATAGGCAATTCCAACTCTGTTCTTCCACGGAAGAACAGAGCTGGACAGGTTTTCCCACAGCGTCCCGTTCGGGACGTAGGGGAGAACGAGAGCCCCCACCCCGCCTTCGTCGGAGTACCCTAGTACCCCGACGATGCGGTCGTGTTGTACCCTCTGAAGGATTTGGAGTTCTTGGTTGAAAATTGAGGACATGCAGGCGCCGGTTCCGCAGTCGACGGTCTTGATTGCGACTGGGTGGACCGAACCGGGGAACGCGGTCCCGAGATAGACGGTGCTGAACCCGCCGTAGGCAATGACTCGGGACCTGGAGAAGTTCATGGTGAGCTCGGAAAGTTGGTGCCCGGTTAGCCTCATGGGCCCGGATTCCCCAACCCTGACCGGCTTTCTCCTCCATTTCAGCCTCAAGCACTGGAAATAATTAGGCATAATGATGAGCGGAGGGGGAGAGAATCCAGAGATTGGAAGCCGGAGAAGGAAGGAATAATATATATTATGGAGTAGTTTCCTGGAGAGAAAATGGAGAAAGAGACAAAGGAACCAAAATGAAAGCTCCACCGACAAAGTATACTATTCCTTGCATGCTCACCCTCGTGTGGATTTTGACATCTTTCTCTTTTTTTTCAAATCCATTACTTTGACTGGATTTTCCATGCTTCATTTTTTTATTCTTTTTTTGCCCCTCTTTGAAATATTTTGAATATTGTTATTTTATTTAAGTGTCTGGATTTCAATTCTAAAATTTTGATTGGGCAATGCTAGAGATATATGAATATGGGGTACCTCATTTGTACACCAAACTAAGATAGACATACACAGACACATAATGTCTATGCAAGCACATACATTATGTGTCTGCGTGTGTTTGTATTAGCTTGGTGTACAAATGGAATACTTGTATTAGTGTACCACTAGGTTAATTAAATTTTGATTCATTGTATTTCAAATTATAAAGGATAATAAATGGATTTGTAATTGAACTTTATTGTAGAAGAATTTGACACATATCTAATTTTGTTTTTTTGAATTCCAAATATGTAGCTTAATTCTCTCTTTGATACATAGAATTGGAATTAAAATTTTGTGAAATGAAATTATATGGAATTGAATTCTATTTTAATTCTAAATTTTTTGTTTGTATAATTAGAAATTGATATAGAATTGTATTACAATTTCAAGTTCTTTAGTTGGTTACACAAAATTGTATATAAAGTTGATATGAAAGTTTTGGAATAGAATTTAATTCCAAATGTACATATTGTTTTGCTATCAAACAACATAATTGAAATTGAAACCCTCAATTTTAATTCTATTATGACCTACATTTCGTCAACTAAACGGGGCCTAAGAGTCTGCTTGGTTGGGAAGGAGGGAGGGGAAGGAAAGGATGAGAAGGAATGAGAATGGATGGAAGGTTTCCATTCATCTTGTTTGGTTGGAGGAGGGGAGGAAAGTTTTAATTACAATTTTCATTAATATTTATTTTAATTAGAACCAATTTTTTTAATTCTAACTCTTTTATTTTTTTTATTTTATCTACTTTTATTTTTTATTATTATTACTTTTATTATTATTATTATTATTATTTTCATTATTAATTTATTTTTTATAATTTTTTATTAATTATTTATACTTTTAAATTTACTATTTTTTATATTGAAACTATATTAATTATTATTTATAAATATTTTTATTTATTTCTTATTACAAAGAATTAATATTTTGTTTATTAATTATATTATTTCTTATTTTTATTTATTTCTTATTAGTTATTTTTTTACTATTGGATTATTATTATTATTATTATTATTATTTATTTTAATATTTTTTAATAATTAATTTATCATTATCATTTTTATAAGAATTATTATTGTTATTATTATTTCCTTTTATCATGTACACCGTATTTATTTATTTTTATTTTTTTGTTTACTAATTATTTATTTACTATTATTATTTATATTTATTTATTTTGTTTTTAGCTTTGTTAATGTTTTTCTAATGACAATGACAAGAAAGAATGAAAGGAAGATAGAATTCTCCGAATTCTCCTCCCTTTTTATTTTTAGACCAAATAAGAGAGGAATTAGTTTCCTCCCTCCCTGGTCCTATAACCGAATAAGAAAACCCCTTAAATAGGAGTAAATCATGACGCATATCCTCAAAATAGGAGTCTCTAACTTATATATCCAAAATAGGAGTAATTAATAAATTTTCCCTCCTCCTATCTTGATTGATCCGCTCCCCACTACGTCAAAAACAGATGCTGACAACTATTTTTTTAGTAGTTTCTCGGTGCTGATTTCAGTAGTCTTCCGAGCAGCTGTCTGATATATTTACAGACTATTGTTTAAAAACAATTGTGTAAAATGGTTGACGACATCTGTTTTGTAATCTTTTAGAGTACCACTTTTTAGTGTTGTTCTCGTATGAGTAAGACATCTGTTTTTTAGAGTTAAAAAAACTGTGATTTTTTGTTGTCTATCTATAATGAATACTACTGTTGTGTTTAACTTCAGACTCCTAATTCTTGGTGTTGTCGTTCAACAATTGAGACATCTACTTTAAAAAGTAGCTGAAAGATATATCAGACTGCTGCTCGGAAGACTACTAAACAAAAATAGGATCAGACAACTGTTATTTTTTGTTGTATTTCTAGAATATGGACTACTAATATTATTGTATTGTAAACAACTGTTTCTTTCAATTGTATAGTGCTCAATAACACTGTGCTTTTTTGTAGTTGTCCTTGAAACATTCAAACTATCATTTTACACACTAATCAAATTATAAATCAGACTACTGCGCCAAAGACAACTAAGTAAGTTTGCATAAAACAACTACTACTATGTGTTGTATTTTTAAAATGTAAACAACCTTATTTGTTGTATTTCATACAACTGTTTATTTAAATTGTCGAACGTTTATTAATAATACAGGTTTGTGTAGTCGTTCTTTAAAGATTTAGAAAACTGTTCAATGCATTGTAAGGCTTTTTGAAAGACTACTATATTTCAATTTACAATTATATTTGATAATTAAATTTTATTTCAATTCTAAAATATTGATCATGAAACAAAAATAAATTCCAAAATGTACAATATATTGATTAATATCTAAATACATACAATCCAAAATCTTAATAGCATCCAATAATTTAATATTTACATAATTAAAATCACATTCTAATTGCCTATCGAGCATGCCTAATTTAGTTATTTGTCCCCTCAATAACATCCAGCATTGAATCAGGGGAATACAGACCTTCAATTCTTGATGTTGTTGTGACCATGATAATCTGCAAGCGAAACATATACAGACCTATTGTGAGTTGAATCACCAAAAGATTAACCTAACTGAGGAAAGAAAAGAAAAAACTCACATGGAACCCCCCAGCTGTTGGGCCAATTGTTTTGAAAAGAGACATTGTAGACATTGAAAGGAAATGAAATTGACTTGCACAAGCAATTAGAGTACATTGCAGACATTTGATTACTACCTCTTTTTATTTAACGCAATTAAAAGTCTATGCCCCATCCGCATAAAAAGGCAATGCACTATAGAAAATCTCATTTTGATGAAATTGACTTGCAGAATCAATTAGAGTAAATGTGTGTAATCAAATGTTCCTGGTCCATGCTAAGCGATACATGTATTATATATATGTGAATCAAATGTATAAGGAGAGACTCACATTTGAGTTGCTATCAACTTTGATATCTGTTGTAATCTTCTTGCTCTTAATATTAAGATCAGCCACAAATAGATCTCCTTTCTTTGACCCAGATGAAGTTATGGCCTGTGAAATTTACAATAGAAGATATTACCTATGAGTATGCTAAAACACACACACATGACCTTAAAATCTCAAAATGCACACAGACACACAAATCAAAGATTGCTAGAAATCTAAAACAACCAAGAACATTAAAATAGCTCCAACAATTATCCTGAATAGTTCATAAATTAGACCTTAATATACTCTAATGAGTCAAACAGTCTCATTAAGCATGATGTGCCGCAGCAGACATCTATTCACAATCAAAGCTAAGTCACAATAGATGCAGAATTTGTAGCTTTTCATAAATCCACAAATGTTAGGCTTTAATGAGAAAAGCCTAGCGACATTTACATTTACTTAACAGATCCGATTGATTTAGAAGGAAACTCACAACTCCAGTTGGCGATTGGGTAGTGAAAAGAGACATTGCAGATATAGCAGATTTTGCCGGAGTCGCTGCCCAGACACCGTCGCCGGCCTGCCTTCTAGACACCTTCGCTGCTATTTTCGCCGGAGTAGAGGAGGCTCGCTGGACTCCCCACTGTTTCTCCGGAAAAGATGGAGGCCACTCCCCCCCCCCTTTTCGCCGCTGCTACCTCGTTGCCGGTGGAGATCATCACCACCACCCCTATGTCTGATCGGAAATATACCTGTGACACTATACCTGAAGAAATTAACACTATCGCACTCAATATGATGCTCTTCCTTTCAATTCCAGAAAAGAAAAAAAAATTGAAAAGGGTATATGAACAGTAACTCGAGCAAGAGTATTACTATTGCCTATTATTATGGTGGCATCACCTCAAAATCAGTACCAATTGCCTACTATTGAAATTAAAGGGGCATCACCTCAAGTTCAAACGGCTGTGCACTTATTCAGGTAGTCTCCCATCTTAGCTGATTCTTTTCTCTTTAGCTTTGTTACATTGCAATTGGTAATGATTTTGCTTTGGGCTGTTGCCTGCTGCTCAACCTCAATGTTGGCACATGAAGCTAGTCACCAAAAAAATAGAGGGAAAAACAATTGATTTCGTACAATTTTAATTAAACTTGTGCTACAGCCACCATAATAATAGGCAATAGTACCGTGTGGAAGGCCACCATTTTCAATTTTTCACACGTTTTTTAAAGTTAAGTAGCAAAAATATACCCTCATTCAATCAGTATTACCCTCAAACAGCAAGCAAAACGAGCCAAATACAGCCCAGACCAGTAGAGCACTCTACGCAGGATAAACCAAGAACATGAACAGTAACTCGAGCAACAAAAATGAATGAGAACAAATCAAGCTGTGTGAATCAAAAATCCAACACCATATGTTTAAAGGCCTTTAAGGCACGACCACAGTACCAAAAAAATGGGAGAAAAATCAAGCCAGAAACATGGGTAAACCTGGGGTTCAATTCAGCGCTGTGAAAAGTGACGAAGAACCCAAATTTTGCTCAAATCACAATCTCTTTGAATTGGAATGGAAATCCAATCTAAGGAGTTGAGAGCACATCCCATGTCGCCAATAATCCCCCAAAAATCTGCCTTCAAACAAGCTTGAACCGAGGTGAATTCAACATTCAAATGTCGCAGGTGAACAGTGACCCGTGAGGGTTGACCTGCGATTCTTGCCAAATCCAGCTTCCAAAACGTCAAATTGAGCTGAGAAATGAGTTGCCCTGCCCAAAACGATCCTAGAGCTCCAAGGATCGCACCAAAAATCCAACAAATTCAAGAGGAAAGCATGGGTTTAGTTACGGGAGTGAATAGTAGCCCGAGGAAACGTGCCCAGCGAACCAGACCCTAGAGAGAGAAACTCCTGCTTCCATTATGTTAGTGGTGAACGGAGATGGCAAAGCAAAGCGGAAGAGATTAAATAAAAGATTAAATTCCATAATGGGTAAATTTTGATTTCAAATTAAATAAAAGATTAAATTCCATAATTGGTCCTTTATAACAGGAGATTTCCATATTTAGTCCTCTATTATCAAATATTACCCATGTAGTCCTTTTTTTAAGGGTACCTTTCCTCAAATGGTCCTTTTTTTGATCTTCTGCCGTGTTGGTATTAATTTAAAGGCTAAAAATATAATTTGAAGTCAACATTATGTCTAGTGACGTGTTCTGATATTGGTTAAGCGGATAACACAAAATAATGACTATGATTGTGGGCTAGAATTCTGACGAAAGATCACATTTGTAGACTATAGTTGTCGTAAAAAGTGACTATAATTCACAAACGACGCAAACGAAATAGCCTTTGTAATTGTGTATGACAAAAAAGATATATTATCATTGTGAAATTACACTTTTAGCCCTCAAATTAACACCAACATGATTGAATATCAAAAAAAAGACTATTTGTGGAAAGGTACCTATAAAAGAAGGACCATTTGGGTAATATTTGATAATAGAGGACTAAATAGGGAAACCCCCATGTTATAAAGGACCAATTATAGAATTTACTCCATTCCTAAATGGATTACAATTTTTTTTCTTTCTCTTCTCGATAACTTATGTTTATTTACACGATTTCATTAAGTAGTTGATAAAATAAAATATTCTTGTCACCTCTTGTTTTGTAGAACTTTTCACGTAGTTTTTTAATATGTAATTTTTATATCTTATTGATATATCAATTTGTAAATAAAATGATTTCAAAAAGTAGAAAATTTTACTCCGTAACCCGCAATTTGTAATCAAATTAGGGACGGAGGGAGTATTAGATATTGATATAAAAAAAGTTTTATTAGATTTATTTTATCAAATATTTTTCAAAATATTATTTTATTTAATTAAATACAATATATAGGTTGTGTCCTATTTGTCTGATCTAATCTTTAAATGCATTAGATTAAATCTAATTAGATTGAATCAGACCAAAACAGATCCAATCGGATCGAATCAAATTCAAATCCAATAAGATTAGATCGAAACTTGAAGAAAATCTAGTCACTTATATAGGCTGTGTCCTATTTGCCTGATCTAATGTTTGAACCCATTAAATCAGACCTAATTAGATTGAATTAGATCAAAACAGATCTAATCGGATCGAATCAGATTCAAATCTAATAAGATCATATCAAATCTTCAAAAAGATCTATTTATTTGTATACGTTGTGTCCTATTTTTCCCTGATCTAATCTTTAAATGCATCAGATCGTACGTAATTAAATCAAATCGGACAAAAACAGATCTAATCGGATTAAATCAAATTCAAAACCAATAAGATCAGATCAAATATTCCAAGAAAATCAAAACTTTTATATAGGTTGTGTCCTATTTTCCTTATGTTATCTTTAAAAGGATCAGATCGAACCTAATTAGATCAAATTAAGCCAAAACAGATCTAATCTGAACAAATGAATTTTGAATGTAATAAGATCATATCAACTTCTAGGCCAGTTTCTAGGGCGTTACATCGTAGACGTTGATTAGCTCTCATACGGTCGTGTCATATTTGCATGATCTAATCTTTAAACGCATTAAATCGAACCTAATTGGATCGAATAAGAACAAAACAGATCTAATCGGATCAAATCAAATTCAAATCGAATAAGACCATATCAAAACTTCAAGGAAATGTATTCACTTATATAGGTTGTGTCCTTTTTGCTTGATCTAATCTTTAAATGCATTAGATTAGACTAATTAGATCGAATCAGACCAATATAGATCTAACCGTGTCGAATCAAATTCAAATCCAATAGAATCAGATCAAATCTTCAAATAAGATCTATTCACTTGTGTAGGTTGTGTCCTATTTGCCTCATTTAATCTTTAAATGCATTAGATCGAACCTAATTAGATCGAGTCATACCAAAACAGATCTAATTGAATCAAATCAAATTCAAATCCAATGTGATTAGATCAAAATTATTAAAAGAAAATCTATTCAGTTGTATAGGTTATGTCCTATTTGTCTGATCTAATCTTTAAACGCATTAAATCGGACCTAATTGGATTGAATTAGACCAAAAAATCTAATCTGATCGAATCAAATCAAATTCAAATCCCAAAAGATCAGATCAAATCTTCAAAGAAAATCTATTCACTTGTATCAGTTGTGTTCTATTTGCCTGATCTAATCTTTAAACGCATTAAATCAAACCTAATTACATCGAATCATACCAAAACAGATCTAATTGAATCAAATCAAAATCAAAACCAATGTGATTAGATCAAAATTATTCAAAGAAAATATATTCAGTTGTATAGGTTATGTCCTATTTGCCTGATCCAATCTTTAAACGCATTAAATCGGACCTAATTAGATTGAGTTAGACCAAAAAATATATAAGCTGATCGAATCAAATCAACTTCAAATCCAAAAAGATCAGATCAAATCTTCAAAGAAAATCTATCCACTTGTATCGGTTGTGTTCTATTTGCATGATCTAATCTTTAAATGCAGTAAATCGAATCTAATTAGATCGAATAAGAACAAAACAGATCTAATCGGATCAAATCAAATTCAAATCCAATAAGATCATATCAAAACTTCAAGGAAATGTATTCATTTATATAGATTGTGTTCTATTTGCTTGATCTAATCTTTAAATGCATTAGACCGGATATAATTTGTTAGAATCATTTAAAAACTTACTTTTCGGTTCGGTACATTATCGTTCCAGTTCGAAACAATATCGAGCAGGTGTTTCTGCGTACCCCTAATTGAAAATGGTCCATATGGGTGAGAAAATTTATATATGGACCAAAATACTTTTTTGTTTCAAAAATCAGATTGCTACTCTTAAAAAATCTCAAGTTCCAAAATTTTCATTTTGCCCGCCTAATATTTTCATTACCCGCAAAAAAAACCCTATCTCTTGCCACTTCGCTGTTTTTCTTTCTCTAGCCGTGCGATGAACACAGTACCGCAAAGAGGGAATCGCTGATTACTCCATGGATTTGATCTTGTTTTGCATCAAATTTTTGGAAATCAGGGACGCCTACAGCAGGTGATTCCACATTTGAACTATATTTGCTGTGTTTGTTGATTGATTTTGAGGAATCGAAGGTCAACGCCATGGAAGCTACTGTTCACTCGAAGTTTTACCTCTCCGATTCTATTGAATCCGGACACTTTTTATGGCTAATCTTGTGATATGTTGAGCGGTATGCGATACCCCTCCTTCTTTTAAAGGCTGATTTCAATTTCATTTGAATTCCCTCATGATTTGAGGATTTTTGGGATTCGTATGTACTGCATTTGGACTGCGATTTTGTCAATTTTTGCTTGCTTTTTTTTATTAGCTTTGTTGTTGCGTTGGGTTTGAGAGGTTGTTTATGGTGTTTTAACAACATTTCTTTGAGTGATTGAAATTTGTGGAATGACCTGGGTTTGAGAGGTTGTTTATGGTGTTTTAACAACATTTCTTTGGTGAACATCCCACCCCTTCCCTCAACCTCCTGCTTTGTTCATACCCAAGAAGGTTAGATGCTTATCCTCTTTTTTCTCTGTCTTTTTTTGTTCTTACTAGACTTGTACCCTTTCAAAAGAATAAACAAATGCATCGTTGTTTCGGTAGAACCGATGCCTTATGCTTTCTAAAGAATTAAATTTTTGATTTTTTTAAACAAACAAAGGCATCAATAAAATAGTGACAAACAATGCTAATAATCTGTTTTTTTAATTTAATAAAATAGCAAAGGCATCGGTTGTTTTCAAAGCGATGCAATTGAAGTGGACCAATTGCATCGCTTGTATTTGCATCGGTACAACACCTGAGGGATACAACCTCTTTCCAGTGCTTTCCAGTGCTTCGTCCTCCACTCTTTCCGCTAGTATTTTGGTTACTCTCAATTCAATTCTAGTGCTCAGGATACAACCCCTGCCAGCTTGTATTCCTAAATCAGGTTTATGACTCTTAATATTTTCCCAGTATTATATGCTTTTGAAGACTAATAAACAAAGTGAATACTTTAATGACTCAGATAACTTATTCAGGTTAGAAATGAAAAGAAATGTAAAGAAGTGATGTTCAATATATGGAGTTAGGTTGCTTTGCCTAATAGTTTTTTTCATTTCCTCTTTAGTTCTGGTACCATCAACAACAATAGTCATAACATAGTAATCTCATGCACTCATGTCTAAACTTTCAAATACTCGTTGAGAAAAAGAGAGAACTGGCTGTACACTACTCAAGAATTTTAAAGTGGAGGTGGCATTTGATGGTTCAATTGAGAGGAAAGAAACACTACATATGGTTCATTAGAATTTTTTTCCATATTAGGGTATTATTTGCAAAAGGAAGTATTTATTGGCTGCATTTATGGATCATTTTTTCTTGTGACAATTAAAGTTTAAGAATTGGGGTCGGCATTTACTAAAGTTAGATTTTTCCTACATCTAACATTTTGTGGGATTTTATAGGATATTGCTGTTGTGTCATGTAAATTTATCCAAATTAATCAAATACCCCGCAGTAGTTAATTAATTTCTAAGCTACTTTTTTTCTTTAATTCAGGGACATATGATGTGAAATGTAAAATGGGAGGTCCCTTTGGCACAATGAAACACCTCGATGAGCTTAAAACGGAGCAAACAATGGCCTTGACATTACTGTTAGGCGGTTGGATCCACTTAAGGAGCATTTTCCCATCATTTCACATACTGACTTTTAGAAGTTAGCTGGAGTTGTGGTTGTTAAAATTACTGGTGGCCCTGAAGTTCCATTCCATGCTTGGAGGCTGGATAAGGCAATCCCTTTTCCTTAAGGTCGTTACTAAAGCCCTTGATCACCTTAAGATCGTCTTTGGAGATCAAATAGGGCTGAGTGACGAGGACATTATTGTTGCTCTATCTGATGGCCACTCATTGGTAAATATAATAAAAATTGAAAAAGAAGGTTGCTCTATGGTTCTTCTGAAAGGTTATCTTGCTTTCCGCTCCCTCACGGAGTAATATGCTGCAGATGAGGATGCTTTCTTTGTTGACTATGCCGAAGCCCATTTGAAGGTCTCGGAGCATGGCGGTGTGCTGAAGGAAGGATATGTCCCATTTAGTTTCTTGTTCCATTATTAAAACCAATTTGAATAATCTATTTTTGTTACCATGACTGATATGCTCTGTAATACTTGGTATTTTTTTTGAAGGCTTGAAACTCCACAATGCATTATTGTATGTGCACTTATTAGTTTATCAGTCACTGTACTCATTATGTGTGTGTACAAACACACACACATACATAATGATTTTTTTGTAATAAAGAGAGAAATTTAAAGACGCTATATTCTATCATAAAAACTTATAATTTTGTATAATACTTAATAGTATTAAATGAATTTATGATGAGATTTTTTCTCATTAAAAGAACATTTTTATGAGGGTTAAAATACTCGCATTAAATAGTTTTAATGAGAGAACTTATATACCGTTATCATTTCTAATTAACTGTGGAGCCTATAATGACGGGCAATGAGAGTAAATTTCTTCTCATTAAAAAGTTTTAATGAGAGTTTTCTTTACTTTAACTACGATTTTTTTTATATTTAAGGACATTTTTCTTTTAGTAGCTAAATTACTATTTAAAAAGAGTATTCTTAACTTATTATAAACAACTCTAGCAAAACAATCATATGACACAGACAATTAGTAATAGATTACTACTTCTCATAATTTTAAAAACAGTTCTACACTTACTATCCACACTACTCTTTAAAAGAGTTTTCTTAACTTATTCTAGGCAACTGTGAAAAAAAACCCATGCGACACAGACTACTAGTAACACATTACCATTTCTCATAACTTTAAAAACAGTTCTAGACTTTATAGTCTAACTATTGTTTAAAATTAGTATTCTTAATTTATTATAAACAACTGTGGCAACAAAAACCATATTTTGAAATGACATAGACAACTACTAATAGATTACCGTTTCTATGAACTTTAAAAACAGATGTAGGGTAAGTATCTAGACTATTGTTAAGAAAGAGTATTGTATTCTTATTATAAACAACAATGTCAAAAATACTATATGACATAGACAACTAGCAATAGATTATTGTTTCTCATAACTTTAAAAACAGTTCTAGACTGAATAACTAGACTATTGTTTAAAAAGAGTATTCTTAACTTATTATTGACAACTGTGATAACAAAAACTGTATTTTGGTATGACACAGACAACTAATAATAGAATACCATTTCTTGAAACTTTAAAAGTAGTTTTAAGCATAATAGCTAGACTACTACTTTTGTAGCCAACAACAACAAACACTAGTCTGATTTTTTTAACTACTGTTTTTCCATAAACAGTAGTTAATCAACAGTCGTCTGACACTGTTTTTGGCGTAGTGCTCCTTCTGCTCCCAATCGTTACCCTTCTTCTCTCTCATTCTTCCTTCCACTCCCATGGTTATTGCAGCCCCCCATCGCCATCATGCCGCCGCCCCATCTTTCTGATCTTTGAGTCTTAGATCTTCTTTCTTCTTCCATATCTTTTTTTACAGATCCAATTCTAATTTTATTATTTTAATTTATATTATTTGATAAAGGAAGACTTATACTCACGAATTGTTCCTTCCACAGTGAAGTGATTGATTTCAAAGAATCCTACATTGATTGATAAATCTATATTTTTTTACTCCCTCCGTCCCGGAGTATTCGTCCAGTTTAGACTTTTGGAACTGTTCATCTAGCACTTTGACTCATCAAATTCTCTCAATGTGTAAGCCTAAATATAGTCATGTGTGATCTTGTTTGATGTGTCTTAACATATAGATTATTAATATATAATTTCTATAATTTTTTAATATACAAATTACAAGATAAAATGGATTAAAGAAGTGTATTGGATGGTGTGTAAAAATGAAAGTGGACAAATACTTTGGGACGGAGGTAGTACTATTTACCTTTGTTGTGTGTATTTTACTTTGAAATTGTCTTCTTTCCCATAACACTTGTGTAAAGATATGACTTTTTTTTAAAATCAAAACAAGAGCTAACTTTTATTTTTTCTTTTCACAGCATTTGTGTTGTGATGTGGTTTTTATAAAACCAAAATAGTTAGGTAATTTTAAATATAGTGTGGAGTAAATTATTACCATTATTGTTTTTTAGATTTTTGTTTTTGGCATTGTATGCTGGCAAATCGCAATACTTCTTGACACTTTACAGTATTTATGGCATTATATATTGACATATTTAACATTATCCAGTGACATGTGTGTTATTATACATTGCAATTTTTGACATTGTTGCTTCGGTTGACATTGTATAGACAATTCTTTTTTACAGTTATTTGTGGCATTATGACACTCAGACGGCGACGATTGCGGATCCTTATGGTGTCACTGGTGATGGAGACAGAACTGGTGGCGTTGGTAGCGATATGAAAAATCACTGCGAGGGGTAGATTGCGGTGTCGGGACACGACGGCGAACGAGTGCAAGGACCCGATTTTTTCATTTTAGGGATGTACTCAATAACTTATTTTTGTTTTTTGTTTATTTTTCTTTTTGTTTTTTTTTCTCTTTGATTTTTTCTATGTTGAACAAAATGTCCGGCGGTCGTTGATTTTCTCTTTGATTTTTTTCTCCGTCATTGCAAGAAAACACTTGCTAATGAGTGCTTTGATGTCTACCCGCAACAAAATGAGGAGAACGGAGGTCTGTAAGTCTGTAACCTTTAGGAAATGAATTTAGTTTAATAGGGAGCATTTAAATTACTCCTATTTAGGGGAGTTTTCTTTCATACTCCTATTTTAGCATATTATTAATGTTTTACTCCTATTTTGCTCCTTAACCCTAACCGAATATGCCCCAAGTAAAATGATTTGAAATCCAAATTTAAATCTTAAAAGAGGTCAATTTGTGATCTATAGTTTTTCTTCTTCCACCAAACGCCAATCATAAAATCTTTCAATTTTCAGTCTATATTCATATGTCACTTGGAAAGTCTCAATACGACAGAAGAAATATACACATCATGCATTCATGTATTCCCATTCCCACCTACCCCCAAGGCCCCAATATGAATAAATTTCATTGTTTTTTTTTTGTTTTTAGTGTTTGTAAAATTTGCTGGGACTAGGACTCAAAGCCACTACTTTTCCCTAAATAAGACTCTTTACTTTTTTTCCTTTTTCTAAGACTAAAATTTGATCATGCGTCCATATTTACCCTTATAATGTTATCACGCGCTGGTACACATATTGTCCTTCCATATTTAATTTTTATGTTCTTTACATATTTAGAGATAATATCAACCATTAAATTCTCCTATTTTTTAGGATGCAATTATTACATTTTCTATCCTATTAACCGTCACTTCTTTTTGCTTCATCTCCAAATTCTTAACATGTTGTTTAGAATAACTGTTTCGTCTCTAATCTTTATCACCAATCTGCGATCAAAGTCTAATTTATTTTTTATCAGTGACTGTTCGGTCGGGTCTTAGGGGGCCTCGGGGATGCGGCTCATACTTTTTTTACATTATTAAAATATACTACGTACTTTGTATATTTTTTCATTTTTGAAATCACCTAATATTTTTTGTATTTTTATTTGTCTTGGTACGAACCATTTAAGAATAACTTATTGAACAAGTAAAACTTGCAAATTATGTCCTTAAAAGACTAACAATGACGGAAAAAGATAATATAAAATGTCCAAAACTTAAAACTCTTTAACAAAGCATTAACGAAAAGTAAAAATGCTAGTTCATAAAGACTTAATAGTAAATTTAAATCTAAAGGCTTAATCCCAATAACGATGAATTTAACAAAATATTTATCAAACAAAGCATTAAATAAAATACCCATTCACAAAGATTTAATGACCACCAAATTTTGATCCAATTGCGCTACAAACACTTAATTCTTGGATTTTTCTTAGTGAAGATCGTATATATTTCCATTTTTAAAAGTGAAATTTGCACTAAATAGGACTAAAACATAAGTCATTTCTCAATGTAGAACTTAAACTTTTTTATTCCCTAAATAGGACTTAATAATGTCCAAAAGGGAGGAATAATGTTCAGTAATGATGGACATTTACTTGAATAATGACTAATTGATAATGACCAAAGGTCCTACATTGGAAAATAAAAACATATGATCCTATATTGAGAAAGTCATTATGTTTTATTCCCACAAGGAAAATTTACCTATATAAAACTAAAACATAATGACTTTGTCAATATAGGACTATATGTTTTCTATTTCCAATGTAGAATCATTAGTCATTATTCATTATTCATTAATCATTATTCAAGTAAATGTCCACCATCACTAGACATTATTTCTCTCGCTAGACATTATTAAGTACTATTTAGGGAATAAAAAAGTTTAAGCCTTACATTGAAAAATGACTTATGTTTTAGTCATATTTAGTACGGAGTACAAATTTTTCCGATCCTAAGAATTCCTGGCCTAGACCTTCACGGTGTATTGAATGTCAATATTATAAAAACTACTCCCTCCGTCCTCAAATATTTGTCACACTTGCTTTTTCATCAATCGCAAGAACTTTTGTTTATTTCTACATATTCATTGGTTATTTGATAAAATAAAATATTCTTGACACCTCTTATTTCGAAGAACTTTTCATGTATTTTTTTGATATGTAAATTTTATTTTTTATTTTTATACCAATATGTAAATAAAATGAATTGAAAAAACTTGATATTTTGCCTCAAGAATATAAGTATGACAAATATTTAGGGACGGAGAGAGTAATTTCTTTATTTTTGCTCCAAACTGAAACAAGCTACGGAGTATTAAATAACCATTGATTGATGCCAGCGGAAAGAATTGGTTATTCAAGGGAAGAATTACCTAATTATATTAGGATTCCATCCTTTTTTGGTGGCGAAATGTGTAAGCGCGTGGCCAGAGATATGATTGAATTGGTGCCTGAGGTTATTCCGGTCATTTACGACCGGCAAACGTATAACCACATGGAACCAGTCTTATTTACGGAATATGCCTATGTTTTAGTTCCATTTCTGTAATTTACTCGTTTAGTTTCTCGCATTGCGAGAAAATTAAAACGTACAAGTTTGATTGATTATTGTTGAGAATAAATCCGGCCCACCGAAGAATCCGATCCAAAATGTCAGATTTGAATTATGAAATAGAAGAAAAAAAAAGAATGAATCGAAAACAGAGTTTGAGAAGACGATAATGGAACAAGAATTGTTCATTCTTAAAAACTTCTTCAAAATTTTAAGATTATGTTCTTTTGAATTCTATTCTGCAAGTCTTATGATCTATTTGGTTGAAAGAAAAACACTTTTCTAGAGAATTCTAATTCTACTTTCCAATGTTATATTGCATAAGTGCTAGAAAATCATTTCTTTGAAATAGTATTTTCTCAAAGAGATGATATACTCCTTCCGTCCCTATTTAAATCGCCTGTTTTGAATTTTGGGCATATTTAAGGAAAATAAAAAATAGAGTTGATTTTCCGAAATTGACATTACTTTTTAGGAGGGGTGATGATGAATGAGAAGATAAGGTGAAGAAGTGTGACTTATTTTAGAGCTAGTTTAGATATTTTATTTTTAAAAGTTTACGAAAACAACAGACAACTTATTTTGGGACGAAGAAAAAAGGCAAACAGGCAATTTAAAATGGGACGGAGCGAGTAGTATTTTCTCAAGTTCATCCCTTCTCCCACACCCCCATCATCTCATCCGCCCCCGCCACCCCCTCCCCTCGGCGCCCCCAGAGAATGGAGCACTATAAAAAGATTTATAATTGATCATTTATAAAAAATAAATTATGTTCCCCTAAAATATTTCAAAATATCTTGGTTTTTAATCAAATATCAACATGGTTTCAATAAAATATGTGGGATAGAATGATTTTTCGTAAAAATTATTTTCTCCTAGAATAATTATCTAGACACATAATTTTCCACAACTAAATGCACCATTAACTTTCAATATTTTCCATTTTTTGTTACATTTTAACTTCTTTTAGTTTATTTCAACTCTTTCTAATTTCTTTCAATTTAATTCTTCCAACATTTTAAAAATTGTTTCCACTCTTTTAGTTTCATGTAACTTCTTCTAATTCTTTTCAGAGGTGATTTAAAAGTTATTTGCTTGTATTATTATCATTACTATTATTATTATTATTATTATTATTATTATTATTATTATTATTACAACTATAATTGGAACGACATTCGAGACCCACTTGCTCTAAGTGATGGTTTACCGGGGTGTCAAGGGTAGGAACCATTAATTTTGTGAACGGTGCACCGTAGATACTTTAATTGAAGCTAGTGTCATCTAGAACCACTTAAGGTGAGTAGATGTAGAACCTCTGTGTATTATTATTATTATTATTACTATTATTATTATTATTATTATTATTATTATTATTATTATTATTATTATTATTATTATTATTATTATTATTATACGAAATCAATAATTTTTTTAGATGCAAATGCATATACACCAAATAAACAATAATACTTTTCATCCAAATTTATAAAAACAAAAATATTTAACTTAAAATGGAGGAAGCATATATATATTTTTAAAAATTCCGGTTTTTTTATTTCAAATGCAAACGAATTTAAATTTTAAAACATAATAAAGGATAATTATATATGAAAAAAGCTAAAAAAAGATAATATGCACCGATGCTCATTAGCTAATGTGGATTGGAATGTGTATCAGTGCCCCTTTTTAATGAAAAATGAACGGAAAATAGTACGAACAGATGTGGTGCGTGTGCAACCTTTTGAAATGATAGACATGTTTTAAATAAATTTTGAAAACAAATGAGATCTTCATACCTATTCTTTAAACCATTGAGAGTGATGAAACTATTTCAATATGTTCTATTCAAAAATATATGTTGTCATTCGATACTTGAATATCTAAATATATGAATATCAAGATTATATTTTTTTTCAATTATATATTTTTAAATATTTTCTCTATGAAAATTATGTTCTAATAAATAAAAATAAAGGCTCAAAAAGTCCTACTAATAAAGAAAATGAAAACAATCCATTTTAAAATTTATATTTCCTTTATGAAAATACTTTTACTTAAAAACAAAAGCTTTATCATTTATAAACACTTTTTATATCATAAATAAATACTATTAAAGAATATCAATACCGTGAAGCGAATATATATATATATATATATATATATATATATATATTCATAGTTGACACCGTGAAATAAAAATACTCATTTTTTTTACTTTACATTTCTATGGCGTATTATGTTGAGTTGAATGCTCTATGTAATCCATAGCCTTGTTGGGGTGATCCTTTGGACTTGATGGATATACAAATTAATTTGTGAGGGTGAGTATTTTTATACTCTTAATGATTTCACAGATGGTTTGTAGTTCTACGTTAAGGTACACTTGATGAACTGACCTACGTAGGTGTGATGACGTGGTAATTTTCTATGGAAAACTATGGTTGTTTTTCTAGAGCACTAATAAGCATCGTGAGATTTACTACCAATCTTGAGTAGTGTCGATCGTGAAACTCGTACATGGAGATAGGTGAGATATGTGTCATTGGGTTATTTCCTAGCACTTATAGAGTTCAAGAGAACTTCACTCTTTGCATTACAGAATGACCTCATTTCACTATGTATTTGTTGAAATATCACATATAATATCACTTTAGTATCGAACCTTATATTATCGAGTGTTGATTATGTGATTTTTTCTTCCTTCTTTGGTTAACCTTGCACTAGTGGGGGATTTTTTTTGTAATGCAAGGCCACTTGTGTGGAATTGCTCTCTCTAACTAAATGTTCAATTTCTTATTATTACTGAGTATTTGAGTATTGCTTGGCCAGATATTTTTGGGTGTTAATCCTTTTAAGCGGATAAATTTAAATAATGGGATCCTAATATTTTGGCTATACGGCACTCTTTTGTATCTCTATCGTGGAGTTGTAACATCCACAACCTCCCGTTCTATGAAATCTTCTCGTTTACAGAGAGAAAAAGTGATCTCTTTAGTGTAATTCCTCTTTATTGGGAAAATAATGTGTGCAGTTTCTTTCATATTCTTTGGTTGCGAATAGAGGTTGGTTTCCGTGTTAACCTTGGAGGAAAACACCTTGTGTCAACTGCATTGGTGAGCGCAAAATTATTTCAAAAGTGGTGGCATTATTACCACAACATGAGGATTTTTTCTTCCTTCAGCAGTGCTGTTAGAAGAAGCGGCAGCACTATTTGAAAAAGTAGCAGCCTTTCCAATTTGCACAATTAAATAAAAAAGCATGGCAAATTAGAAGCTTGAATACTATTTCACTATTCTCAGGAAGAAGCTTTAATTTTCACAAGAATTAGAGCCACACCAATTAATTTTCACAAGAGGAAATTAGAGCCACACCAATTAATTTTCACAAGAGGAAATTATAATAGAGTAGGAGTTTCTGTAGGACCTCAGGCGCTACCAACTCTTCTAAAACCAATTGGTGTTAGAAGAGGCGCATACCTTAGCCTTATAGTGCATTCAGCACACAAGCGCCCACGACATTCGATTGTTACTTGGCCCACATAGCCTCCGCCACGGGATAAGGTGTTAGAAGAGGCGCATACCTTAGCCTTATAGTGCATTCAGCACACAAGCGCCCACGACATTCGATTGTGACTTGGCCCACATAGCCTCCACCACGGGATAATTGCTGCACACATGGCCAACAATCTCCCCCTCAGCAATTGCTCCCGCTGGGAATCGAACTCGTGACCTTGGCTCTGATACCACTTGTAGGACCTCAGGCGCTACCAACTCTTTTAAAACCAATTGGTGTTAGAAGAGGCGCATACCTTAGCCTTATAGTGCATTCAGCACACAAGCGCCCACGACATTCGATTGTGACTTGGCCCACATAGCCTCCGCCACGGGATAATTGCTGCACACATGGCCAACAGTTTCAATACCTCTGTTCTTGTTGCTCGGTAGGCTAAACCCCCGGTCTTCTCAACAAAAAAAGTGCCTCTCGAAAAGCCATCATTAAAGTAAATAACAGATCAAAAGAACACTACAACAACGCTAGACACATTTGGTCTGATAATTATTTAAATCTTTAATCGAGATCACCTAAAATATCTTGTAGATTAGTTTTGGAATTAAATCTATAAAAATTCTTGAAAAGTGAAAAGTAACATTAGATATTTGGTACGAAAAAATAACATGTTTAAAAATTGGTCTTTTCCCTTGTTATGAGTGGTAAGAAACCTGCTCTCCAAGATTCACAGGGGAGCACATCTGGGTTTGAGTCCTAGCGAAGGTGGAGGCATTGGTTAGCTATGCTTCATTACATTGAGAAGATATGATAAAATACTACATTATAATCGAGTCAATGACACTAAAAATATTTAAGATTCACTAATAATAACAAATTTTTTTAAAATTGAAAACGCAGTAACCCACAACCCTCCATAAGCATTTACAATGAAATATTTTAATGGTTTATGATTACTATTATATTTTTATTAGTTGTACTATTATATATATATATATATATATATATATATATATATATATATATATAAAAGAAGGGTGTCTGCAAAAACCATCCTTTTCATCTTCACGCAGGAAGCAGACTATGTCAGATTCCTTAGGAAGCAAAACTGGTTTGTTGGCTCTGCTCATCTTCATGTCTGTAAATGGAGTAAGAATCTTCATATGTCTTTTGATAATCCAGTGGTTCCTATTTGGGTTACTTTCAAAAATCTCCCATTACACTTTATCAGTTTTCAATCTTTATTTACTCTTGCATCAACTATTGGACGTCCTATCCAATTAGATGAGAGGACTGCTAACTTGGATAGGGGGGCAGAAGCAAGAGTTCTCATTGAAAGGGATCTTTCATTACCTTTTCCTAATTCAGTGCACCTAAGGATTGGAGATAAGGATCTTATTATCCCCTGCCAGAGAGAAAGTTACCCAGATTATTGCACTTTCTGCAAGAAATTGGGGCATAATTGTGAAGGTTGCAAAAACCTTACCGGAAAGGCAAATTCCGGCAAGAGCAAGAAGGCAGAACAGAAAGAAGATGGGGCCAACCAGTGGAATATTGTTAAGGGTAAGAAAACAAGCACAACCAGCAAAATAAGCTCAACACACCTGCAAAATAAAAAAAGGTGGGTCAGGAAAGAAGGTACAATTGCTCAGACTAGTAGTCATAATACATTTAACCTGCTGGACCAACCCATGGAGCCAATCGCTGCTACAACCATCCCCACACCTGCAGAAATTATAGAGGATCTCCAAATTACAAACAACTATAGTACAAAAGATCTCTTCCCATCCCTGTCAAAAGCAAAGGCATATGCTAAGAGGAGAATTGCTCCTAGGTCCCCTGGGAATTCATTTAGGCACATCCCATCTTCTTTGGATGACTGTCTTCATTCTAGCCCAGATATTGGATTAGGCATATTACTGGACTCTTTGGAAAACCACAAAATATCAGGGGAGGCCCAATTTCAATTTGGGTACCATTCAGAGGGGGAAGAAGTTACTATCCTTGATAAATCTAAACTGAGGGATCTGCAAATTTGCACCCCAGCCCCTAACTCAATTTGTGTCTCAGTACCTAAAGCTGAAAGGAAAAAAAGGGGCCAGAATATCCCTAATATGCTCACCAGGAGCATGACAGGGAACAAAGATGTCACTTTTTTCCATTTGCCATGAATTGTATCTTCTGGAATGTTTGTGGGATTAACTCTTCTGTAAATAGACTAATCTCTCTTACTAAGGCTAATAGAGTGGATTTTGTTGCTATCTTGGAACCAATGGCTAAAGAACATAAGGTGAATTCAGTTAGGATGAGTCTGGGTTTCTCTAACTGTGCTACTGCTCTAAATAACAAATTATGGGTCTTCTGGAGAGAGGACAGACTTATTCTCACCCAGGTCCAAGAGTTCACTAAGATGTACACTTGCCATTTCTGGGACAGCAATCTTAACACAAAATGGAGCATTACCTCAGTTTATGGGAAACATACAGGCATCCAAAGAAGAGAATTGTGGTCGGATCTCATAAATAACATCATTAAAGACCATTTTTGGATAGTTGGAGGTGATTTCAATGCAATAAGCTCTTTGGATGAACATAAAGGTGCTACAACCCCCTCTCTTGCTGACCTGAATGAGTTCAAAGATTGCACTGAAGCCATACCCCTCATTAGCCCTCCCTTCTCAGGGGGCATATTCACATGGAGTGGAGTAAGGAGTAGGGGCAAAATCTGGAGAAGACTTGACAGAGCCCTAGTGAACACTTGTACTATGAATTTCTTCACTGAAATCAACATCAAACATTGCAGCAAAGCGTCCTCTGATCACAAGGCTCTAATTCTCCTATTGTAGCATTCTTTTTTGTGTCTAATTTTTGTCCTTATTTTGACTGTGTTGGTTGTTTCTACATAATAAATCTTCTACAGGCTAGGTCTACTACTTTAGAAAATTTAAATTCTTCTTCCATCGTGCTAGATCTCTTGGAGCCCCAAAAAAATGAGAAGAATCACAATTTATGAACTTTCTAAGATGCGCGCTGCTCGAAATAGCCCAAAAGGATCACAGAGCTCAACAGATTTTTAATACTGTAGCACCATAAGGTACAATTTTGTTTGAATTTATATTTTTTCTTGTTAGATTGATGCGTTGGATGCATGCTTTTATTTGCTGGAGGGAAATGTGGTTGCTCTATGTTGTTTCTTTGAGTAAAACGCAATTAGGATGCGATGGGCTTATTAATTCAACTTTTTCTGTTTTAGATTGTAGTGAGTATATAAAAAGTGGAGTTGGGTATGTACAGAAAGCATACGCAGACATATCATATTTTCACTTGTAACATGCTTCAGTTCATGAAAGAGCTTTGCTGTGTATATGCCGTTAGATTTACAAGATCAATGCCTATTGTCTATTCTTATTTCTTTCATTGTGAGTCATTCTTAGTTGAATCGCACCATATATATATACGATTCTTGAATAATATGGACTGCTTTTGGTTCGATTGTAAGACAAGATTTCCATTTTCTGTGGAAAGGACTAGGAATACTCATTTCAATTTTATTTATGGACAATTTCTGAATAGCTTGTTCCTTCCTAATAAAAGAGTTTCTTGGTGTGTGGGTAAAAAGCATATAGGTACTATGGAGGCACAAATAGATCTAAAATGGATCTCTCAGGATTTTCACTCCGATCCAGTCCTTGGTAGAACTATTTATTCGATCATAGATACTTCTGCAACACCTCTAATAGAGACACAAATAGTCAATTTGGAAAGCGTCAGTAAAATGAGGGTCGTATTAAGATTTTAAGAAACTTTATTGATAAAGCTATTTTTGTGTAACTGATGATTCATCTAGATGTGAAAATCATTGGAAGCACACAATATAATATATAGCTTTTTTTTACCATAACCCATTGATTTCTGGCTTGGAGGAAAACTACAGAGAAGTGGTGGTCATTAAAAAAAAACAGGCCCGACCTTTAACAATAAGATATACATATATATATATATATATATATATATATATATATATATATATATATATTAAAGTTTCAGAAAGGGCTTACATTAGTTTTTTTAACACTGCTTACATTACAGAAAGGGCTATATATATGTATTATTTAAAGAAAAATCACTTCTCATACAAGCATGGGCATGAATCTAATTTATGTAAAAGAGAAAAAACTTATATGAACAATTCGATTCTTACTTTTAGAGGAGATGAGAAAATGTATAGAGTGTTTTTAGGGTTTAAATGAATGACTAGGGTTTTGGGGCAAATGACCTAGCTAATAAGAACATTGGAGCTAATAAATGCTTGATTTATTTCATTTTTTTTTAAATCACAAGTATAATTTGACAATGTCATAGATACAATATGGTGTGACAAATCCAATTCTTTGTTGTCATCCATATAAGAAAAACAATATCAAATAATAATGTTGTATAGAATTTCATTCCAAATATCTGGAACTCCAGCGAGACACCAATGGCTACAATCCATTCCAGTTAACCCATAGATTGAAGGGTGGCCATCTTTTCGCAGCAACGATAAGTTTGTAACATCAAGCAATGTAACTGGCTTTTGTATTTTTCCTAGCACCTTCTTCAGCACTGTTAACGCAGGCGGCAAAGCCCCGGGATATTTGGATCCACTTAGTGGTTCTTTCTGCCCTATGCAACTCTTGGCGCCCGGTTCATCCCAGTCTGTGCCACTGCCAGCCAACATATACTGTTAGAGTATAAAAACATTTCTACGCATACAACCATAGCTTGAACTTTTGGTTAAGTTGATTTTTTGATATGGTATCAGAGTCTCGTTGATCAACAGGTCACGAGTTCAAAATTCATTGACACCCAGTTTTAAAAATTAAACTTCACACATGAGGGGGAGTGTTAGAGTATAAAACCTTTCCTAGAACTACAACCACAAGTTTAAGCTTATTAGCCTAAGGGAGAGGGAAGAATAAGTTATTAGGGAGTGGCTAATAGTTACTTGTAATGCGATGGGGAAATTCCTTGGAAAAAAACCATTGTTTTTGAGGGATTGATGTTTTCATCCACCCAATTGGCCCATGTGTTCAATGCCTTCTCAAAAGCAACCATGCGATCCATGTCTCGATAATAATGGTCTCCAACTTTTATGTAATCCCACCTACAATTAGAACATCAAAATATGTTATCACTATACATCAAAAAATATGCAAGCCAGAAAAGTGTTTGTAACACACGGCTGAGAAATTCCTCTGCGGTTCCACCAATGCCATGTGTTGAAGATGAGCATATCAATTCCAGACCATATCTTCCCTCCCTCAATGGAGTCCAATTTCAAGATTCTACCCTTCTCTTCTCTCACTACATCCACCAAATAAACTGTGCGGTCCAACATCACTTTCACATCGTACTCCTACAAAATAATACTACAAAGTTAACGAGATATGCATCTACATAGTAAAAATTTACATAGAAGTTGACAAAAACTATTATAAATATCTCTGCAAAAATATTTCAAAGTATTTTTAATTGATTGGGAGATTTTTTGTAATTGAGTTTTATTGTAAATATTGTAATTGAAACATTGTAGTAACTCTAGGAGCCCAGAAAAGAAAAGGAGGCCTAGATGATGAACACAGAGGGCTTCATAAACTTGAATACATTTGAATTTCTCTTTGATTACAATACTAATCTCAAAATGTCATTCCAAATTGTTAAGCGTATTACCCCAATGAACAAAAAGAAAACCAATCTAGTCACTAATATATTCTAATCCATAAAAAACCTAACCTCTCCTTTTGGTAATCAAATAAAAGAAAAAAGTCTCCCTGCCCCATAGACACAAGTCTAGAATTTTTTCTATCACAAATAATAAGGACATTTACCAATTTCAGAGCTATTCTTTTCATTTTATTTAAGGAGTCTAGTGTATGAAATGTGAAATCAATATTATAGCAATTGTGATCAGTTGCTGAATTCTTGAGAAATTGAAGTCTACAATCTAGAATATACTATGTGTTAGTTCCATGATGTTGGCTAATCTTTTGGCAAAATAAGATCCCATATTTGTTAGGTGTTTTACTAGATAGAAACCTCTATTTGTTAGGAGAGGTTTATTTTATTTAGACTTCTAAAGTTGCTGCAGTTTTCGAGGTTGACACAGAAGATGCTACAACACGATGCTGCAACACACTGTTCGGGATCAGAGGTCTGAGCACGGGATTTTAAGCTGCAATCTGAATAAGAGACCTATTGGGATTGTGATTACATGATAATAACTCCAGTTGTACATGCTAAGGAATCCCAACTCTTTAGGCTACTTGTGGATCAAGATTAAGGAAGTTGTATTCAAGCCAACTTCTACTAACCTATTCCTACTAGGATTGTGTTACAAGAAGCATATAAAAACACAGCAGATCCCTAGGAATTACTTGGAGCGATTGAGAGGGAAAACAAAGAATAAACACTGATGTAGAGCATTCCCTTCGCATCCCGGAGCTTCCCTTGCGCGAAGAAAGCTACAATTTACATGAAGGATGAGATATTAAACGCCAAACAGATCATCTTGTCCAAGAGATGAATTAGAGCTGAACGAGTGGGCTGCCAACAGGTTTGTCCTCGTAATCTCGGTGGAGTTGTGATAGCCGAAGCAGATCTATACAGGGTACGGGTTAGAAATCCTAGATTAGATGTTTTGTCATAACAATTAGGAGAAGTGTGTCTCATTATGTTGTTATGTACCAGTGTAACTTGCATGTAGTGATTTAGTGGAGGGCTATTACACGGACGTGGGCCCCGCAGATGTAAAAGAATTTGCTCCGAACTGCGTAAACATATCTGGTGTTATTTTTTACGCATTTTATAGTTACAACATTCTACCCAGTAGGCACCGTAACGCCCTCTGCATCATCTGCTTCTGTGTGTGCTCGTGAAGGAGATGGTGTTATAGCACACTCTCTGTCATTTGTTTTTGTGACAGTGCTGCAGTATCTTCTCTGCAGCATAGTTGACTAATTTCTTTGCGTAGCTTTCAATTGGTGATTTCCGCTACACCCCGACGAACTTACAATTGGTATCGGAGCGGTTAAGCTTAAGCTATTAGCTTGATCTTTGGATGGTCCGTTGCAAACAATCATGGTGATCGGAAAAAGATTTAGCTCACTTTATGAAGCAAGATGTGGTTATGATGCATATCCCGAGGGGGAGTAAATTGCAAAAAGGGATGGAGCTCCAGCATAAAATTCATATGGGAAGCATGTGCATTGATCTTAATGGTAGATTTTATTTATTTTGCGCTTGTTATTGTTGTATGCTCTTAGAACTTGGTATTACTTTTCTTTTTTACCCTAAATGAGATGGGCATATTTTGTTTCGAAAAGGGGAGAAAAGGCTTAGTTCTTAAAAGATTCTTTAATCTTTTATGTGCATGGTGCACGATGCATTTTTAAAAAAAAATTTCCAAAGGGGGAGATTGTTAGTTCCATGATGTTGGCTAATCTATTGGCAAACTAAGATCCCATATTTGTTAGGTGTTTTACTAGGTAGAAACCTCTATTTGTTAGGATAGGTTTATTTTATTTAGACTTCTAGAGTTGCTGCAGTTTTTGAGGTTGACACAGAAGATGTTACAACACGATGCTGGAGGACCACCTTGGTCATGTTACACCATAACCTAGCAGAAATAATAGTTTTCTCTCATTAAAGTGTCACTTTTCTCTCTCCTTATTTAATATCTTGAAGTTAGCGTGTTAAATAAATTTATATAGCCATCCTAGCCACAAGCTCATTAAGGCCACATTTGACAAAACTGAAAAAGTTTTAGAGTTAGCATTTAGAAAAGGCTATCTAACAACTGTATTTTCAAAGTTAATATAAACCATTAAATTTTTATCCAAAACACCGACGTCAATAAAAAACGTTGTTCTTAAAAAAGAACTAATTTTAGAGCCTTGAATGTTGGACTTTATATATTTTTAAAAAAGAGTTGTGTTTTACACTTTTTCTCATAAAGAATACTCGTTTTCAGTTAATTAATCTCAAACCATAGTTCAAAGCTATAAATATGTTTTCTACAATTAAAGTCTTATTTTTTTATGTAGAATGATAAAATATCCACTTGGATGAGCAATTGACAAAAATTGGGTGAAAATTGGATCACTTATGCACCAATTTGGGTAAAACGTGGACTCAAAGACACAATTGGACTAATTTGAGTAAAAGATGGTGTGGAAATGCATCTAGGCCATCATTCATTCATTCCCCTAGGCTCAAAAAAACACACACACTCACTACTACAAAATGAGAAACTCGACGGCCCCAGTTGCACCGGTTTCACTTAAAACGGATGCAATTGGGCAGTAAGATTTCGCTAACTGCATCTTTTTACATCGGTTAGTAGTAATAATGACACGTCGTTTATTATTCATGTCTTTTATGACACGTCTTTTATTATACATGTTTGTATGATTGAATGTATGCTTGTATGATGATCGCTAGAGTATGTGCACCGCACATACAATAGGTGAGACCATGTCAAAATCCCTTGTAATATTAAGTTTGTGCCTTCCGACGCCTACTCACTCGTCATTACTAGTTTTGACGAGTCAAAGGACACGCCAAAGTGAGACGCCTGGTTGACACTGGTATATGGCATGAAATCCGTAACAATGGATACTGAGTACGCCCCCGGTTGGACTTAACTAAGTTAAGGTAAAAGGATGAATAACTTATAGGCACATGGTTAGGTTAATAAACAAAATAAAAATCATCTAACCTAGAGTTGTAAAATGTTACAATTGTAAATTAGTTTCTACCTAAAATAGTTTGACTATACGGCAAGATACAAAGCACAACTATAGTTAAATGAAATAAGGATCTAGGCCCAATACAAGATTTTGTTTAGAACAACCTAGCAAACCAAGGATTGTAATAGGATTGCAATTGGAAATAAAGTTCCTACCTAATTAGTTTAACTACAGGGCAAGATGTAAAACACAACTATAGTTAAATGTAACATGGACCTTGGCCCACTAAGATATCTAATCTCAAATTAACTTGTTACGTACTTGAGGGTAGTTGATTTGGTAAAATAGTGGGAGAGTTTTTAGTTAAAGACCTAGCTAATTACTTAGATTCTTGATTATAACTGATAAGTCTGTTTCGTTCTTATCATTTACATCATATTTTAAACGTTATTGCACGTAAATAGTATTTAATCATCTCATAAAATATGACTTCAATGAATAAAACATTCATTTTCATTCTAAGAGTCATAAAAAGGGATTCGCGATGTAATCATCATAAATCATCCATTTTATGTTCAAATACTTTAGAAAAGGAGAAAAAATCATCAAGGGATCAAGATTCGGGCTTAAACAAACTTCCAGGAGGTCAAAATCAGTGTTTGGAAGCAAAACGGATCAATTCGAGGCAAAACTAGGCCCAAAGTTGCGAAGGATCATGAAGGAGGCGAGAAGCACTGGATTCGGGTCCTGGGCGTCCAAAGTTGGATGCCCGCGTAGTTGGACGCCTAGAGGGTTGGACGCCTGCACTTTCTACCCTATAAATATATATCACGCGATGTGAACCATTCTATACACCATTCTCAACCCAATTTCAGGTTCTACTCTCTCAATACTTTGTATATTAGTTTTAGTAGTAGTTTGAAGTGATTTTGGAGCGTTTGACTCCAGATCTGTTCTTTTCCGCTTAATTGGAGTTCCGTAAGTTTTCTTGTTTAATAAAATGATGTTTTAATTTATGTTTGCATAGCATGAGTTAGGGTTTGGACCCTTGGGTCCGGACTAGTTTGTCTGTATACTTTGAATGTTAAATTAATGTTGGAATGATTAGTCTATTGTTCTTGCTATATTTAGTTAATTAATATTGAAAAATTAAATTAGCTATTTATTGAGGAAATATTATATGTCAAAAGGTAATCATATTCAAGGCAACAGACTAATTACAAAACCTAGAAATACGTAAGTAATAATAGAAATATTATTAATCCAATTATTAATTAAATATGACAAAGTAGATCCAAATGATGTCCTAACCCTAGGTCCAGATCTACACTTATACCATGTGAAATGTATTTATTATTATTACTCTACTCCATTTAATATCGTTCTGAGAAGACTTTCATGAACCTATCCTAACCTTCGCCTAATTAGAAAAATTAACTAATTCCCTTCGTCCACTCCTCGAGAGACACGACACTCCGAGAGAAAACTAACCTTTTTACTAGGAAGGTTTACTACTCGAAAAACTACACTCGATTAATAACTATCTTGCAAATTATCTGTAGATGACTAGTGACCACTTAGAGACAAAAGTTGTTCGCAAATTCCTTAAAAAAGGGGAAATTAGATGGCACTAATTTCCTTGTCTGGCGCACTGATTTGATCAAGGCGC